TCTGGGGCTAAAAGAGCAGATTTGGTGGCAACAGGAAAACGAAAGGTCTGCTTTTGGCCTTTCCTCTCACCCTTCTGGCCCTGACTGAATGGCTCTGCAGCAACAGTTACTGACAGGAAAAAAAAAAAAAAAAACAAAGAGAGACCACATTATTTCAAAATTCCTTTAACTTTGTTCTTAAAAGAGAGAATCATCTAAATCATCCCCAAAAGCCATCTTAAATTCTAAGGCTAAGAGTAAAATCATGGTTAAATATTTAATTAATGTTTATGGTACCTAGCATATTAGTTTTAGGAAGGTCAAATTTATGATACAATGAAGTAATATTTTTAACATTCTGTGGGTCTGTTTTATAGCACATTGGGGCCCATAGTATAATAAATATCTTCTATTATTTTTTCAGGACTTCTGTAAGTGAAGCTGCGTGGGTAGGAGAGAATATTGAATTTCAAGTCAAATGAGCTGGCATGAACCATAGGCAAGTCACTTCATCTTTCAGGACTTCAGCTTTCAGACTTGTAAAATGAAGGATAGGGATAAATCTTCAAACTACTTTCTATCTTAAAAAAAAAATCATGAGCATAATTTTGCATTTGGTTAGTGTGGAATTTATAAGGCACTCTGATGGTGCAGTGGTTAAGCACTGGGCTGCTAACTGAAAAGTCTGCCGTTCAAACCCCCTAGCTGCTCTGTGGGAGAAAGATGTAGCAGTCTGCTTCCCCAAAGATTACAGCCTTGGAAACCCTATGGGGTAGTTCTACTCTGTCCTGTACGGTCACTATGAGTTGGAGTAGACTTGATGGCAATAGTTTGTTTTATTTTTTATGACTTATAGAGTTTGTAAGTTTTACCCCTTTTCTTTTATGACACATATTTGTACCAGTTATAATTTATTTATCCTCAGTCCTTGATCAGGAACAAAAACTCGAACTCCAATATTGTCACTATGGCAAACAGAACTCAAATTTACTGCAATACACTTTATGCTATAATTTCTCCACTCTCTGCCCATATACATCCTTTGGAAGTTTCATCCTCAAGAGATATTTGTTCACTATTGTGTGACCATAGTTTTCTAAGAAGACTCCATATGTTATTGAGTAAGGGAACCAAGCCCCTGATTTCAGTGGGTTAAACCTCTGCAGCTGTATCTACACATCTCAATTTTGATTTGTGATTGAGGATAATACATCAGAATATTCATATAAATAATCTACTATAATGTCTTGAATATGTAGACTGGCTATTCAGTTAGGTATGCCTGATATATTGAACAGAATAGTATGTGGGGAATAATCAAAGTACTGCATTATTTTTGCCTCCCATTCAGATGTTTCTCCTATCATCAGATGAAAACTCAGCAGAATCCACAACTCTCTCTTGGGTTGATAGATAGTTTACAGTCATTTTAAGTCACAAAACATAAATTTGATTAAAAAATTAAAGTGCCTTAGTCTTAAGAGATTAATCAACTCTTTTCTCTTTACTCAAAAGATTATTTTTCTTCTCCTTCACTGGATGCCTGGACCATCAGTGTCCAAGGGTGGAGAGGAAAAAGAGAAGAGATAAAGGAGTGGATGGCAAAGTTCTTACCAGGCTGATTGTTAATGCTGTCCTAAAGGAGCCCTGGGAGCTCTAGTGGCATAGTGTCTAAGGCACTTGACTTCTAACCAGAAGGCTGGTGGTGCAAACCCACTAGCCACTCCTCAGAAGGAAGATTGGGCAATCTACTTCCATAGTGATACCGCCTTGGAAACCCAAGGAGGGGTCACTATGATTCAAAATCAACTCAACGGCAGTGAGTTTGGTTTTGGTTTTGAAAGAAGCCTAAACCAAAAAAAAAAAAACAAATTCACTGCTATTGAGTCAATTCCAGCTCATAGTGAACCCCATCGGATTTCTGAGGCAGTAAATCTTTATGGAAGTAGATTGCCCAGTCTTGCTTCTGTGGAGTGGCTGGTGGGTCTGAACCACCAACCTTCTGGTTAGCAGTCAGATGCCTTAGTCACTGTGCTACCAGAGCTTCTTTAAGGCAGCCTGACTTGTATTTATACTGACTTCTGCCCTTCTGTCACTTTTGTTGTCTTGAATGCTGACTGGACTATTCTGGCAAAAATTTTCCTGATGTGGGCCATGAATGTTTTCCTTTGGCCACTCTTCTTCCACCCATCAGGCTCCCAATTTTTGTTGTTCCACTCCACTATTTTGGGGTTCCTCTCACCTTCTGGCAGGGGCCTTGTAGGGCAGAAGAATTTTGGGCAAGATGTCTATGATAAAAGTGCCATGTCACTAACCAAAGATCTCTTAAATAGGGGACATAAAGATCGATAAATAGTGTTTCGTTAGGAACTTCCAGCTTCCGTTTAGGATGTAGAAAGCTGGAAAGAATGTCACTCCCACTCTAAACACAAGAAAAACTGTATAACTTACAACATCAGAACTCTTCTTGAAATCCTCAGAGACCAAAGATGACAGGGCAACAAACTAGCCTGAAATTTAAGGAAACATTGATGCCTCCAAAGAGAGATAGAATGTAAGCACAGGCTTACCTGAGGCAAAGTAGATATAAAACTACAATAAGATACCACCTCACCCCCATTAGAAGAGCAATGATTTAAAAAAAAATGGAAAATTAGTTATTGGCAAGGTTGTACAGAAACTGGAACCCTAATCTATTGCTGGTGGAAATGTAAAATGGTACAACTTCTACTGAGAAGTGTCATGATTCCTCAATAAAGGTGAAAATAGAACTACCATATGACTCACCAATCCCGATCCTAGCTACTTTACATAAGAGTGAAGGCAGGAATACAGAGACAGAAACTTGTAAAGCTATGTTCACTGCTGCACAACAGCCAAAGGGTGGAGACAATCAAAATGGCCATCAACAGATAACTGAATAAATAAAATGTGGTGTACACACAATAAAATACTGTTGTTGGTAGGTGCCATAGAGTAGGTTTTGACTTATAGCAACCCTATTTACAACAGAACGAAACACTGTCCGATCTTACGCCATCCTTACAGTCTTTGTTGCACTTAAGCCTATGGTGGTAGCCAGTGTCAATCCATCCCGTTGAAGGTCTTCCCCTTTTTTGCTGACCCTCTACTTTACCAAGCATGATATCCTTCTCCAGAGACTGCTCCCTTCTGACAATATGACCAAAGTACGTGAAATTAAATCTGGCCATTCTTCCTTCTAAAGAACATTCTGGCTGTACTTCCTCCAAGACAGACTTGTTCATTCTTCTAGCAGTCCATGGTATTTCCAGTATTCTGTTCGCCACAATTCAAATGCATCAATTCTTGCTTCTTTGATCTTCTTTACTCACTGTCCAACTCTCACATGAATATGGGGCAATTGAAAATACTATAGCTTGGGTCAGGTGCACCTTAGTCTTCAAAGTGAATGGAATACTACTCAATCATAAAGAGTTCTCATGCATGCCACAACATGAATGAAACTTAAAAACATCATGCTGCATGAAAGAAATCAGTCACAAAAGGACAAATATTGTATGATCTCACCTATATGAAATAAGCAAATATATAGACACCAAAGATTACGAACAGTTACCATGGGTGGGAGGGCAGGAGAAAGGGGGAGGTTTTGTTTAGAGGGGCACTGAGTTTATGTTAATGTTGGTCGAATGATTTGGAAAACAATAGTGAGAATGGGTGCACAACTTGAAGAACGTAATCAATGTTACCAAATTATACATGTAGAAATTGTTGAGATGGTGTATGTTTATTATGTATATTTTCATCACAATAATTTTTTAAAAGAAACTTATCTTTCTGTTTAAAAAATGCAAACAGACATTTTTCCTCTAATATTTTTAAACAGAGACATTTATTTTATTTGCTATTACTGGTAATTGCTATAGTGTGACATCTCCAGGCTTTTTTTTTTTTTTCTCGAGGGAACAACACTTCTTGTTGCACCATCAGCCTTTTACTATATCATTATAGAGAAATCAAGATTTGTACACTGTACTGTATACATGCTGTACCACAGTACAGTTGGGTGACCCCTTGCCAACACTCCTAACTCACTGCTGTCGAGTCAAATCCGACTCATAGCGACCCCTCCTTGGGTTTCTGAGGAAGTATCACTACAGAAGTAGATTGCCCAACCTTCCTTCCAAGGAGTGACTGGTGGGTTTTTACAACAAGTCTCCAGGATCCATGCTTCTGTGACAGGTCTAGGAGTGCAGTTGCTTCCTGACACAACAGAACTCTTACTTTCAGTTCCACCACTGAAGAAGCTTGGATACCAGTCCTCAACCCTCCCAACTGCAGGGGTTATATCCTAGGTTTCTAAGCCATCCATGAGGCCCCAGCACTGGGTCTGAGGAGGATGCAAACCCCATAGACTCTCCTCCATTTTACTGAGGGCTTACACACAGCTCAGCAAGCTCTCCTAAACAGATGTCTGCACAAATCCTCTCTCCTATTCATAATTTGAACCCCTTTTTTATATCTTTTTTTCCCCTGCAGTGTTGTGAATGTAATAGAATTTACCTCTCTTGTCTTTATCTTTTGTGTACATTTCAGTATCTTTCCTTTCCCCAATGTCACCATGCTGGTCACAGACTCTTTCCCTACTGTTCCTTTTTTTACATCTTTGATCTGAAAAGAAACCCAAGAGTCTTTGAGCCAACACTAGCCATGTACTTTATAGTTACTCTCTGCAGTTTAGTCTGGCACCTCAGGTGGTGGGCTGCATCTATGGTTGGTGTTGAATGTTGCAACCAAACCTTCAATGTGAACATCCTGTCTTAGTTCAAATATTAGTTTGAACCATATGCCGTTGTTGATGGTTGACTATTTTTGACCAAAAAGAATTGTCATTTCATATGGTTCAAAATAATATTTTTTTCTTCAAGATAGGCTTTTTAGAGAAACTGAACTTAAGGTTGGGTCTGTGGAACAAGAGAAAAGGCTTCTAAAATGAACACTTAGGCAAATACTGAAACTCCTTTAGGGAAGAAACTTACCTTGGCTTTCAGATCAGCACACAATTCCTGTTGCTTTCTCCTATCTTTAGCCAAAGTAATCTCCATTTCATGAGTTGCACAGGCCTCAGCCAGGGTCATCACTGCCTTCCGTATAAAGTGTTTTCTGTTCTTATTCCAATTTGATATCAAGATCTTTCGCTGCTCCCTAGCAAAGCGATATTGCTCACAGTATTTCTCATGTTGGACCTGAGAAGATAAAAGATAGTAAAGATTTACCACTATGAACGTGAGCCTATAAAATAATAACTATAACCAATGATTTTGAGAAACTGGTGACAAACATCTTCTTTATAGTAAATACAGGAACCAGGAATGATATGTCAGCTCCAGGGTAGCATAGTGCCTAAGGCATTTGACTGCTAACCAGAAGGCTGGCGGCTCAAACCCACTGGCCACTCCTCAGAAGGAAGGTTGGGCAATCTACTTCCATAGTGATACTGCCTCAGAAACCCAAGGAGGGGTCATTATGGGTCGGGTCAGACTCAACGGCACATAACAACAACAGGGTGCTGAGATATGACTAATTAGTGACTGGGGACAATTCATTTGAGCTTTGTAAGTCCTTTTTTTCCTTCTATAAGATGGAGTCAACTTGGTGGCCTCTAAAACAACTTTCACTTCCCAAAGGTGAACGATTCTATGAGCAAAGAACAGCAGTTTCCATACATGCAATTTAAAAGATACCCCATCTGTCTGTGAGGAAGGAAGGGCTCTTTGTCTGTCTTCTGTTGTTTCTGCAAGGATTCTGGGTATTTTGTATCACTGGTATCTGTGCAAGATTAGCCTCAGCTGAATCTATCCTTGGTCTAGAGTATACTCCTCTTCACTGACCCCCATCTGATCTCAGATGTTTTTGTCTTTATCTGTAGCCTGGTGTTTGGTGTTAATGGTAATTCAGTATTGTGGAAATAGTGGTATTAGCCTCTGTCATTTATATCTTGTGTGTACAATTTGGTGTATTCCCTTTTCCTAATGTTATCATGGTAGTATCATGGTATCATGGTAGACTCTTTCTGTACCATCCTTCCCCTTACCCACATCAGCGTGTGGCCCCCAACTAACCCAAAATTAATCCCTCCCCTTCCCTCCCCACTCCAGTAACCTACGAAGTGAGTTCTCTTCCTTAACCAAACCCTTCTTCGTCTTTTTACAGTAATGGGCTCACAATATTTGTCCTTCTGCGATTGGCTTATTTCACTCAGCATAATGTCCTCCAGGCTCATCCACATTGTGAGATAAGTGTATTCCTCATTGTTCATTAAAGTAGCATACTATTCCATTGTGTGAACGTACCATAATTTGCTTATCCATTCATCTGTTGATGGGCATTTAGGTTGCTCCCATCTCTTTGCTATAGTGAATTGTGCTGCAATGAACGTAGGTGTGCATATGTCTGTTTGTGTCCTGTCTCTCACCGCATTAGGATATATTCTTAGTAATGGAATTGCTGGTTCAAATGGTATTTCTATTTTCAGTTTTTTAAGGAAATGCCATACCGTTTGCCACAATGGTTGTACCATTTCACAATCCCACCAGCAGTGCACAAGAGTTCCAATCTCTCCGCAACTTCACCAGCATTTGTTATTTTCTGTCCTGTTGAACTTTGCTATTTTTGCTGGGGTGAGATGATATCTCATCATTGTTTTGATTTGCATCTCTCTAATGACTAAAGATTGCGAGCAATTCCTCATCTGTCTGTTGGCCCCCAGCATATCGTCTTTAATGAAGTGTCTGTTCAAGTCTTGTGCCCATTTTTTAATTGGGTTGTTCACCTTTTTGGTGTTGAGGTGTTGAAGTATTCTATAGATCCTGGAGATAAGTCCTTTGTCAGATACGTCATAGGCAAATATTTTCTTCCAACCTGTAGGTTCTCTTTTTACCCTCTTGATGAAGTCTTTCGATGTGCATAAGAATTTAATTTTTAAAAGGTCCCAGTCATCTAGCTTCTCTTCTCCCTGCTGTGCATTCTGGGTTATGTTTGATAGTCTATTTATGCCATAAATTAGGGGTCCTAGATTTGCCCCTATTTTATCTTTGATGAATTTTATAGTTTTGGGTTTTACAATTAAGTCTTTGATCTAACTTGAGTTTGTTTTTGTGTATAGGGTGAAGTATGGATCTTGTTTCATTTTTCTGAAAGTGGATATCCAATTTTGCCAGCACCATTTGTTAAAGAGGCTATCTCTTACCCATTTGATGGGTTTTGGACTTTTGTCAAAGATCAGCTGTCCATAGATGGATGGGTCTTTTTCTGGACTTCTGATTCTGTTCCATTGGTCTATCTGTCTGCCATTGTACCATTACCACGCTGTTTTGACTACTGTGTCTGTATACTAGATTTTAAGATCCAGGAGTGTGAGACCTCCACTTTGCTCTTCTTCTTCAGAAGTGCTCTGCTTATCTGAGGTCTCCTTCCTTTCCATATGAAGTTAGTAATTGGTTTTTCCATGTCCTTAAAAAATTTTGCTGGTATCTGGATCAGGATTGCATTGAATGTGTAGATTGCTTTGGGTAGGATTGACATTTTCACAATATCAGCCACTCCTCGGAAGGAAGGTTGGGCAATCCTACTTCCGTAGTGATACTGCCTCGGAAACCCAAGAAGGGATCGCTATGAGTCAGGGCTGACTCGACGGCACATAACAACAACAACAACATCCATGAACAAGGCAGGTTCTTCCATTTATGTAGAGCCCTTGTCTCCTGTAGTAGTGTTTTATAGTTTTCTCTGTATAGGTCTTTTGTGTCTCTGGTGAGGTTTATTCCTACACATTTTATCTTTTTTGTAGCTATAGTGAATGGTATGGTTTCCCTTATCAGAGGAGTCCTTGCTGGTGTACAGAAATCCAACTGATTTTTGTATGTTGATCTTGTATCCTGCCACTTTGCTGAACCTCTCTATTAGTTCCAGTAGTGTTTTTATTGAGTCCCTTGGGTTTTCTATGTATAGAATCATATTATCTGCAAATAAAGATAGTTTTAAGTTCTCTTTGCCAATATGTATGCCTTTCATTTCTCTTTCTTGCCTTATTGTTCTGACTAGGACTTTAAATACAATATTAAATAGAAGTGGTGATAGAAGGCGTTCCTGTCTGGTTCCCGTTCATAAGGGGAATGCCTTGAGTCTTTCTCCATTAATAATTGTGTTGGCCATTGTCTTTGCATATACGCCCTTTATTATGTTGAGGAATTTCCCTTCTTTCTTAGCAGGAACAGGTGTTGCATTTTATCAAATGCCTTTTCTGCATCGATTGATATAATCATATGGTTCTCTTCTTTTGTTTTATTTATGTGGTGGATTACATTGATTGTTTTTCTGCTGTTGAACCATCCATTCTTGCATACCAGGTTTGAATCCCACTTGATCAGGATGAATTTTCTTTTGATATGTTGTTGGATCCTGTTATCAAAGACTTTGTTAAAGATTTTTGCATCTATGTTCACGAGGGATATTGTTTTTAGTGGTGTCTTTCCCTGGTTTCAGTATTAGTGTTATGTTTGCTTCATAAAATGAATTAGGGAGGATTCCATCTCTTTCTATCTTCTGGAATAGCTTGAGTAGTATAGGTGTCAACTCTTCCCTGAATATTTGGTAAAATTCTCCAGTGAAGCCATCAGGGCCAGGACTTTCTTTGTGGGGAGTTCTTGTTTTTTTTTTTTTATGACCTGTTCAATTTCTTCTTTTGCTATGAGTCTGTTCAAGTATTCTATCTCTGAGTGGGATAGTTTAGGTAGGTCTTGTAATTCCAGAAATCTGTCCATCTCTTCTAGGTTTGCAAATCTGTTGGAGTACAATTATTTATTTATTTATTTATTTATTTGTGATTTGGGTGAAGATTTACAGAGCAAATTCACTTTCCATACAGCAGTTCACATATACTTTGTCTCATGACATTGACCACAGTTTACCACAATGCAACAGCTCCCCTCCCACTGCCTCCCCATAATTACCTCTTCCCTGTGTCCATCCCTCCATGGACTCCTGCCCCCTGAGCTGTCTCCCTGTACATAACCAGCCCTTCTTTCTCTCGTGATTGTTCTCTCCAAGGAGAGTATGGAGTACAGTTTTTCATAATATTCTGTCAGAATCTTTTTTATTTCAGTTGGCTTTGTTGTGATGACACCCTTTTTGTTTACTATTCTTGTAATTTGCATCTACTTTTTCTTTTCTTTTGTTAGATTTGCCAATGGCTTGTCAATTGTGTTAATCTTTTCAAAAAAACAGCTTTTTGTTTTATTGATTTTCTCTATTTTTTGTTTTGTTTTGTTTTCTGTTTCATTTATTTCTGCTCTGATCTTTATTATTTCCTTACTTCTAGATACTGTAGGATTTTTTTGTTGTTCTTTTTCTAATTGTTGGAGTTGTTGAGTTAGAGTGTTGATTTTGTTTCTTTCATCTTTTTTGATGTATGCATTTATTACTATAAACTGACCTCTTAAGTACTGCTTTTGCTGTGTCCCATAGGTTTTAGTATGATGCATATTCATTCTCATTTGTTTCTAGGAATTTTTTTTTATGTCGCTTTTTATTTCTTCTATTACCCAGTAGTTTTGAGCAGTGTATTGTTCAACTTCCATGTTTTTGATGTCTTTTTCCTTGATCTTCCTATTATTCATTTCTAGTTTTATAGCATTGTGGTCTGAGAAGATGCTTTGTAGTATTTCAATGTTTTTGAATTTATTGAGGCTTCTTTTATGTCCTAACGTATGATCTATTCTGGAGAAGGATCCATGTGCACTGGAAAAGAATGTTAATTGTGCTTTTGTTGGGTGAAATGCTCTGTATATATCTATGAGGTCAAATTGGTTCATTGTGCTGTTGAGTTCTTCTGTATCTTTGTTGAATTTTTTTCTAGTTGATTTGTCACTCCTTGAAAGTGGTGTGTTAAAGTCTTCTACTACTATTGTAGAGTTGTCTATTGTCCCTTTTAATTCAATTAATATTTGCTTCACATATTTTGGAGGACTTTCTTTGGATGCATAGATATTTATTATCATAATGTCTTGTCAATTGACCTTTGCAGCATCATACAGTGTACTTCTTACTTTGTTTTTCACCTTAAAGTCTATTTTATCAGAAATTAATATTGCCACTCCTGCTCTTTTTTGTTACTGTTAGCTTGGTATATTTTTTCACCCCTTAACTCTTAATTTGTTTTTATCTTTGTGTCTAAGGTGTGTCTCTT